TAGGCCAAGAGTCACGTCCAATTCCGCTCCAGTGATATTTATGTCGTCACAAGGTCCGGAGAGATAGCATCTTAATTTTCCCAATCGCTGACGATGCTCCAGGCAACCTTTAAGGGAGCCTGATAAAGACAGTCGATGGCAAATTTTCTCTGATTACCGATTAAACAGTCCGAGAGGTCGTCCAACTGGATTTTTATAAAGCCATGGGCACTTCCTATGTCAATTTTGGTTAGGGCAGTCTCGCAATGCGAAGCAGAAGCGATTAAGGTAAGTTCATCGCAGTAAATAGCCTGGATGCTGACGCTCGGTCCCACTAGTGAAATCTCCGCGCTTTGGCACTTGATGAGATCCGCACGGAGTGTCTAAATGGGACAAGCGTGTCAAAAGTTGCAAATGAATTAAAGCTAAAATCTTTTGAATCCGGATGATTCAAAAAGCATTTTACTGCCTTACGCCCTTGATATCCAGCTTTATAGTTTTGCTCGCGAGCTTCTCGAGTACAACACTAGAAGTGGACACTAAGGCAAGATGATCAACCTTTGTATCCCGCATAAGTACAGGGCCTCCGGACCAAATATGGGTAGAGTTGTTTTCTATATTTTGAAGATCCAGTGGCCCTTCAGAAGAGTTAGATATACTTATATCTAGGTTTGTTATGGCACAACAAAGCCCACGCACCTTTACCAGGGGGAATGCAGAAGTGCGCTACACAATGGCGCTCTGATGCCGTTTTAGGGATGAAACACTTGTTCTCATCAAGGTAATAGGAGTCGGCGGCCGTACCTGTAATCAAGGCCTTCGGGGATGTCAATTTATTCGTTTGGACTGACAGCGCCCCGTTGGCTTTAATAACTATTTCAGATAAGTCGGATGCCCTAAAAGTCAGTTTTCTGAAATGTGAGAGATAAGGAGGGAAGAAAACTAGAAAAGCACGAAGTGCCATAATGTGGTGAGAGGTTTGGCGGAGGCGGGACGGCTGAGTCTGTATATCCGGTATAAATAAACAAGTTCTCATATATATACAAATTTTGTTCGTCACAATTATCTATCAGAATTAATTAACAGCCATTTGAAAAAAAATGTATATTGAATTTTGCACAATATTTGATAGCCTGTCGTTTACCTTCTTGAGCTTCAATTAAATAAATTTCGCAAGCTTGTGCTTCGATCCATGATTTTTTTGTTGATTATCAGCCTTAATGATTCTTCTTTTTTGTGTATCCTGGTGACCCAATGGAGCGGTGGTGCACTTGCGCACTTTTTTCTTAAGGGATTAATT